TATTCTGCTGGAAAATGGGATCTTAACAGATCTAGGAGGTCACCGTGCCATTGTTTTAGAATCTTTTGAACGTGATATTCGTCATCAGGAGCTCAAGTTGTACTAGTCCTGTTACTCTCGAACAATCTGGATAAAGTCGATGTAAACGTGGTACATTTCCAAAAGAATCGCCCCTGAGTCATAACAGTTCAAAACAATTTTATTTTATATACGCTACTTATTCGTTTTCTAGTCTAAAATATCGTCTGTTTGTATTATAGGATTAACCTTCCAATTTGCTAATCAGCTATTGATTTATATGTTTCATATTTTTCAACTATTTTTGGTTAAATGGATTTTCATGCCGCTATTGTCGTCGATACTGGACGACATCTGTTACATGTAATATGAATATGACAATAGGGCTATTGATAGCTCTTTCTTTTTAACTTTTTAGTGCTGCCGCCATTTTTTGCATCCTTCGTGTCCGTTTTCTCTCATTCTGGTAACTATTTGATCAACCAATACTACTAATCCGCCGTTTATTAGTGCCGGACTTTTACTACACACAAAGAATTCTTTTGTTTGATTTGAGATAAGCTGTACGGAATGAAGGAGTTCAAACTTTTTTCTTTTCTGGTGGGAGAGGAGCACAAAGTCCTCATTTCTTTATTAATTAATATTTCATGATGTCAAGCTCTACATTTAATCGTATATTTGGAGGTGCAATGAGAGGAATACAGACGAGAAAGTTATGTGTTCTGAGAAACCATTGCTCCATTAGCTTTTCCCATTTTAGTTAGATACTTCCTATCTCAAAAATCAAAAATTATATTAAGCCCCACTTGTACCTAGTGATTACCGGATGTCTTCCATTACTCCGTGTTTTATTCGTCAGTTTTCCTGTACCGAAGAATTAAGTGTTTCTTTGTCCACTTAGCGATCTGTTCTGTTGTGGTTTGCCTTGCATCTACGGTAGTCATTATGTATAAACCTAAGTCTATTTCTTTATCATAAAATGACTGTTTCGTAAAATTATCTCAATACGATGGAATGGAAACTTAGAAAGCATGGTCATACCTGGTAAACACTTTTTTGTGTTAGTTTTTTAACCTTTTTTTCATGTTTAGATAGTAAAATGACTTTCTCTAAACTAGTTACTAAAGAATGTGGTGAAACGGAAGCCAAGTTGCTCGATTTTGTTAAAATTAAAAATTTACAATTGTTAGAACTGACGTGGAAAAAGAAAAACAATGATGAACAAGAATTGAAATCAATGATATTAGAAGCGTATGATTTTATGGAAGATGATGATCTAAAGCATTATGTATTTTATCGTAAAGTTGATAACAAAAGCATTACTATTAGACCTGGTATTGTAGCATCATTCTAACTCTTAACGAAAAATAAAACGTTACGCACAAAAAATGGTTAGAAAGACGTTCCGATTGCTGCTCAATTTGTCCTTTTTCCTTAACGGATTGCATTACTCTGTGTTGTAGTATCCTGGGATCAAAGTTCTTTTGTACAGGCTTCTTTTTATTGCCGGCGAAAATATCTATTTGTATTTAGTTATTTTCTACTTCAGATTGTGGAACAAGCTCAGAAACGACTGAATCATCATTAGGTAGTGGCAAAGAACGATTGAGAAAACGATCAGCCCAGTCCTCGATGACAACAACAACTTTTTTAAAAGTTAAAAAACAAAAGTTTTTCATTGTAAGTTTGATGTATTTGTGGAATCAATGATCAGAATATTATTTTTTGGTTTCTAATATACAGGCAGATAGCAACTTAAGTAGGAGTCAACTATCGTTTTCTGATGATGACAATGATTTAAGTTACGATGATGAGCTAGATGAAGCTACAATGATGCATGAAATTGTTATGCGAAAACGAATGGAGTATTTTCTAACAAAACATTTAAAAATTCAAGGTAACGGATAAAAGGAAGATATTTTCAAAATTGTTATTATTTCTTTTTATACATATATAGATGCATTTATATCAAAATTAGAAACGGAAATGTTATACAGATTTTGTCTACATATGGAACAATTGTATGCGTTTTTTAAGTTCGTTCGACATAACGAAAAACATTTTGAAAATTTGAAAGCTGTTCATTAGAAAATTAGGTACAAGCTCCGTACCGGACCAAACTTTATGAAACTAAGTTGGTATATGCAGAATTTCAAGGTGAATCCGACAGCCGGCTTCTTATAATTACATCTTGAGTTTTTCATGTGTCGCCACAGTCTCTACGATTTCTTATAGTGAATCTTCCTTTTCTTATTTTCTTTTCCTCACTAACGAAAATTCTTTTCTCAACAAAGAAATAAACCATTTATTTTGTTCTCAAAGTTCTCCGTAAAAAATGGCGTCGGTAACAAAATGTATGCAGAAAGTCAGAAAAACAAATGATTAATATTTTACTTAATAGAATTTTTAGAGTTATCTTTACCCACACTTTTACTTTTATCGGCCAAATCATATATGTGTGTATTGTGTTGGCTTCTATAAACGATTTTTGTCTTGTTTTTAATCAAATATACAATGATAACAATTCAGTGCTTCTTTAATTGGTTTTATTTTAAAAGTATTCTCTCACTCGTTGTGTGTCTCTTCATCATGAATTTGTTGTTATGGTTATTGTGAACAGTTATTTTTCGAGCGAAATGAATCCTGTACAAAAAAAACAAATGTCTAAGGATACAAATCAGTTATTTTATTCTTTCTTTCTGTAGTGAAAAATGCTTCACATATGTTGCTGTATCAAATGTGAAATAACACCCGAAGGAAAAACAAACGGCCAAATCCACACATAGACTCGGCCAAAACCACACATTATGACGTCGGGTCTAGTTTATCTTAAAGCAAAATAGTTCTTCTGTTATATCGGAACGGAGAAACTTGAATAGCCTCAATTCGTATCTTTTGCCAAGGCGAAGAAATCAAATTTTTCCTTTTTCTTTAACTTTTAGTAAAATCTTCGTTCGTGGCAGAAAAAAAGATTTGTAGCGAACTTATGATACAAGAAAGGAAAGGTGACATTTCAGAGTACCAGAAAATACATTTCGATTCCACTTTGATGCATAGCACTGTTTTCAAAATAAATATTTTCTGGTTTGACTTTGGGTTTGAAATAGGCATGCGCCAGTTAAAAACTGGTGTTCTGGCTTCCGCGAAAATTGTTAGAAGTCACTTACAAACAATTACTCAGAGTCGCGTAACCTCTCAGTTTGTAGAGAAATATTTGGACTACAATTTCATATAAGTGGAAAAATTTCAACGTTATCTGATACAAATATGATCATTCTAAAATGCACTAAATTCAGAAAAAAACTGTTCGAACAGTCTACTCGGCTTTCAAACTGGAATCTTCGCAGAGCGCAGTTGGCCATGGTCACTTTGAACCATGTGTTCTTTCTTTCTTTCTCTACACTTTGATTCGATGTTTTCATCCACCGTTCTCCGTCATTTGGTCATTTGGTGAAGATTTTGAATCATGTTTGCTAATGAGCGACTAATCACACAACAGGTGCAGATTTTTTCCTGGACAAATCGGTGTTTCTCCACAAGAACTCCAGATTTTTTGTAAATAAAACTTTTAAAAAAAACGAAGAAAACGTTCAAATAGACAATACAAACAATTTTTTGCCTACCATATTTGCTGCACGTATACGCAGTAAAAAGTCATCTGTTGTATTTGTTAATATACGACGTAATTGTTCTTTTAATTGATTCGGTTGAATCTCTTCAACCTAAAATATTTGAAAACATATGTCAAGAGTTTTGGTTAATGATTGAATAGAATATACACGAACTACTTTACCAAGTTAAATAATAGCAATAAAATTATCGAGTATAGATTGAAGATCATCTTTAACACATTTATTAAATGTATTACGCATTGCTGTATTACCAGCAGATGTCTTTTTACTAATGTCCATCTAAAATAAAACGTATAAAGTTGATCGAATTGCACTGTCAATAAAAAGAAAAATGAATTATATTAATCAAATGAATTATTTCAACTTTATTGTTTCACAATTAATGAAAGTATGCAAACATTCGTTACATTTTGTGCTCCTAGATTGCTTTCATATTATACGATTAAGCCTTTACAGACAAGTGTATAAACATAAAACAAAAAATGCTTTTAAAAGATAAAATGAAGACATTTATCACGATGAACATTTCATGATTGTACTGCTATCATAAAAATCTATTCATCGAACCTTCTGTACACCATAAAATTGAAGGCAACCTTTGAAATTTCATTTGCACCAAATCCCATTGTATATTATGCTCAAATAAAGAAAACAAAACAAATACAAGACAATGGGAAAAACGCATCAATTATCGATCGGGTAAAATAACTACAGGGATTTCGTGTTCAAAATGAAACTAGCAACAACAATAATAGTAAAAAAATAGTGCACAAAAATTAGATGAATGTGTTGATTATTTTTTGTGTTACATATAAATTTACATATGACATTCACCGAATTCTTTCTAACAATAAAAACAATCTACTTGCATGTATAGCACGGTTCAAAAAACAACAATAAAAGAAAATTAACTAGAATAACTGTTATAGATATTGATTGAAAAATAAAATTACATGAAAAAACTATAGCGAGAAAAAAAAGTGCACATTATCTGTGAACCAATCTTTTGTATTGACTAGGAAAAATATTTAACAATCAAAAATATTCAAAATAATGTTTTTGCTTGTTTAGAACTATTCGGATCAGATGCACCGTCTAAAACTTCTTCCACTTCCGAATCATTCGCACTATTATCATCTACTGAGTTCTTATTTGTATTATACGAGGATGAAAGAGAGTCATCTTGATAATCATTCGAAATTAATTGTTTAGTAGCATGATTTGGACTACGATCTTGCTTTAGTGTTGTCAAAAGACAATCAAATTATGTTTATGTATAAAAGACATTTATCTAATGGATAAAGTGTTTGTTTGGTCAAAATATCTGACATATACACATTGTTACACAAGCAAAAATGCAACGTATAGTATATCTTTTCTCTTTTGTTTTAAATAATTTTTATAAGAATAAGAACTGTTCTATAAAATGCAAATCTTATTTTTATGAGTATTTGGGAAAAAAATCATCAACTTGCTTCATCCTAAACAATATTTACTAAAGACTAAGCACAACAACATTAATATAGGTAATAGAATAAGAAATAGAGTTTTTACTTGCTACACACTGAAACTAACCTGAATAATGGACTAATAGCTTGTCTTTTATGAGAATCTATATACGAAAGAAGGTGTTTTTTAAAGAAAATTTGGGAATTCTATCTAACTTTCGATCAGGTAAAAAGAAAATGTTGAAAGAACTTACGACGATCTGGTAGACTTCCTGATGCTTTAAACTGTGTCGATCTTTGACTTTACTCTAATAATAAAAACATTATAAGAAATGGTCAAGTATTAAAACTGTTAAACTAACATCTTGTCGATCTTTATATGCAATTTCAAGCAAACATAGTTCTTCGCATAATGCTTCGTAACGATAGGCAATAGGTATATTTGGTACATTTGTTCGCCGAATATCACTACCAGCAACGCCTGGTGCCATATAATTTAATTCTAACCAATACTGGTAACTAGATAGATTTGCAAAATGGGCTCAGAGTATGTCTACAATTGTGCTCATCGAATTCATCGACCATTTTTAGTTGTGAATACTTAGTTCTCTATAGTCAGTTTTACATGGAGAATCAGAGAAAAAATACGTTTGGAAAATAAAAACAAGGTTGAAGATGAAAATTTGGCTCAAATTCTCTAAATTTCATAAGTTTTTCATAAATTAACTTTTATAAATCAATCAATCCCCTATAAATCAATAGTATTTTAGTATATAAAAAGACGAAGAAAATTGAAAGTCATCAATGTATATGTAAAATAAATGTCGAGATCATTTTGGTTCTATGATCTGTCAAATATATTTCTTAATTGTCTTCTCATTCGTTCTAAACGATCTGTTAAGTGCTTTCTATAAGTATATTTTGGTAGAATAAATATTACTAATGTTATCATCAATGGTAAAAATGAAATTAGATAAGAAATCAAATATAAGTATATTTGCCATTTATATTTAAAACAACTAAAACTAAACGAAAAGATAAGACGTGGTAATTCTAAAATTAATACTAATATTGGCCCTATATTGAATACTCCTGAGTGCCTGTTGGATACATCTGTCAGAAATCTTCTAAAACGCGTTCTGTCAAACTTACGTTAGTTATCAGGAAGACTTTCTGTTACTGAAAATACACGTTTTTGTGAATTTTGAAGCTTCGATAAAAACGTCAACTAAAAAGCATAGGTAGTTCTTCCACGCTTTCCTCTTCAGGCTATTATTTTCATTGTTTTCCTATGGCAAACTGTCACCTCACGGTTTTATTTCTACTGTTTTGAGCTTTACAATATGTTTTCATCGTTTTAATCTCACAGTTCTCAAACTAAGAATTTTACTTCAGAGTTTACCTTCCATGGTTCGAAAGTGGACTGTTTTGTTTCTATGGTTTTAACCTTCACGGTTTTACTTCGGTAGTTCCTCTGTTATACTTTTGACAGATCTGACAAATTTCATGATATAGTTTTCATAAACAATTCTAGAGCACGCATGATTCCCAATAAATTGAATTCCATTAATTTTCGTTTTGTCTCATTGACTATCTGTTAGAAGAATTATTTCTATGATAAATGCGACGGCCACAATAAATCTCCGAGATATTTTCCCTACAACTTCATGTTATGACGTAACTTATCCAAGAAATTATTCCATCAATCCAAAGTCTTCGGCAGAAATACTCGAGAATGCTTCCACTGCTCAAACCTTTTTAATTTTTTTGTAACAATGTTTGTTCAATTGCTTGGTGTTTCTGTAATTCTAGCGATCGAAAGAGTTTAGATAAAAAGTGACGTCAGTAGATCGAAAATACTACCTAAGAGCGAAAAAAAACATGGAACGTGCGTCGGAACCCCGTTCAAAACTGATATAATTTTTCAACTGTGTCCGTTCCGCACCCGTTCCCAAATTTGCATTTAATGGAGTTCAACAACCCGTTCCACATGGTCTATTAACGCCCGTTCACCTACTAGTTCTCTATTACATTTTTCCGCCGATGGCAGAGGGAGTTCAACCATCCGTTCCAACGAGCAGTTTG